CTTTGTAGATATGGTTAAGTTAAAGACCTTGATGTGGGGAGATAAATCTGGATTAATCTCTGAATTATGTGGGTGGGCACTAAATGTAATCACAAGAGTCCTTATAAAAGGGAGGGGAAAAGGTCAAAGAAGAAAGAAGATGGGATAACAATGCAGAAGTTAGAGTGCTGGTTTTGAAGATGAAGGAAGGGGTCATGAGCCAAGGGACGAAGGTGGCCTCTAGAAGATAGAAAAGGCAAGGAAATGGATTCTCTCCTAGAACATCCAGAAGGAACACTGACCTGCTAACACCTTGATTTTAGACTTCTGGGCCTCCAGTACTGAAAGAGAATAAATTTGTGTTGCTTAAGCAACTAAATTTGTGGTAATTTGTTTTAGCAGAAATAGGAAACAAACACATTTATGAAGAAGTACGTTCAAATCTTTGCTGTCTTCATTGGTTTTTTGTCTGCTTATCTAGCAATTGAGAGAAAAAGGCTCCCACTCTAAGGGTAGTGTTTTTAATTTCTCTGTAAAGTTCCTTATGCTTGTTTTACATATTTTGAGTTCTTTTAAAATTTATCTTCCTGATGAGATAAACCTTTTACCATTATTAGGTGAACCTTTTTTATCTTTATAATGATCTCTGTTTGAAAGCCCATGTTATCAGAGGTCAATATACTATTCTTTGGTTATCTTTTGCCTGATATATTTTTTCTCAACCTTTTACATTCAACTTTCTATGATTTTATATTTAAGATCTCTTCTTGTCTCTTGTAACAAGTGTATAACCTGATTTTAAAAGATCCAATCTGAAACCACCTTAACTAACAAATTTAGGTCATTAACAATAATGTTATTTCTAATATAATTTTTGGACTTGCTTCTCTGTCTTTTATGTTTCTACTTACCCTACCTTTTCTATTTCCTTTTGCCTTCTTGTCTTGTTTTTTTTGGTGGAGGAAGGACTGAAGGTTTTATGTGTTTTTCTTATTCTATCTCCCACTTCATTTCTTTTTTTTTTGTCTTTTTTGTCTTTTTCCGTGTCCGGCAACGGATCGCAACCCTCA